CACTATATTGTATTAAAAATGTCAATTTTAATTTCTTGAGAAACAGCAATAAAGTAATGTTAACTAAAAAAAAAGCAAGTATAAAGTTCTACGACATACTTCGAATTCTTTAAACAATGGTATATTTATGTAAAGGAAATGAACTGGTGGTAAACTGCTCTATTTTCAATGGCAGTTCTTTAGGGATTGGAAAAATTGTAAGTACTCAGCATATGCTAGGCACTATGTTCAGCACTTTAAATACACTGTATTATATTTATGCTTCCCATCATCCTTTATTCTTGTGTATCTGGGGAAACTGAGGCCCAGGACACATAAGTTATTCACAAAGAACAACAGAACCATTAAATGGAGGAGCCAGGATACAAGTTAAGGTCAGCTTGACCCAAAATCTGTGTTCATACACCCATGACTGCCCACATGTAATTTTTATTTTCTGTTTCACACATTCTTCTGTGTTCTAGGGGATCTAAAATAAGCAAATACTGCTTTTATAATTTGGAAACAAATCAATAATATGAATGTTATATTAAATACATACATATTCACAAAGTGACAATTCTAAAAAGATGTAGGCTTCTCCAAAGATGTAGGACCATGAACATGATTTTTAGGATCTTAAACTAGTGTACTTAGTAAAGAGCATGAATGCTCTTTTAAAAAAATGCAATTCTGATCTTGGAATATTTTTGCAAGCCATGTTAATTCTGCAAAATTTATTCATTTAAGAGATATTTATCTAACACCTGACTTTTGCCAGCTATTGTGCTAGGTGCTAATACAATAGGAATAATAGTCTAAATAAATTTCTTTGGCAGTTAGGAAAGTGTCTTTCAGGAATATGTGGAGACAGGGAGAGAAAGGGAAGGCGGAAATATCCATCAATCTAATATAGAAAGTCCTGGCTACACGTAGCAAAGTATTGTTTCATTTTTTAAAAATTTCCATAAAAATGTATTTTTCTGCAGATCTATGACATCACCTTGGAAATGTCATACGATTTTAAGCCTCCGTAATACATTTATACTTTAACTATAGTGATCAAGTGAAATAAAATA